GTTATCACCTTCACAGGGCACCCGAGTCCAAAAAAAAGGTGACACATTCGAAAATAGCTGTGTACTAACATCTAGTAACAAGTTGATTAGAAAATATCTACAACATCGAGCGAATGAACGAACGCTTACGACTAGAATTGGCAAGTTTGCAACGAATGCGGAGGAGCACGCCACACGTGGTTAAACCAGAGGGAAAGGCATCGGAAAGTAACGCTCTAGACACTCCATACTTCGCAACATTGCATTTCATCTCAGACACCTGCGCCTGCGCAGCTACGGCACATGGTCATAGTCTCTTTGTCCTTGTCACGCCCCGCCTCACTCAAGCTACGCGTGCTCACAACGCCATTTCAAAGGTGCGTGCCGGACTGGTCTCGGAATGAGCGGATTGGTCAGTTTGTGCGAGGTCATGTGGTTTGTTTGTTTTGCGGGGTGGGGGGAGGGGAAGGCGGCAGCGCAGCCAATCGGTGGCGGGGGAGCGAAATTCAAACGGGGACAGAGCAGCGCGATTGGCTGGAGCGGGGAGAGTTAACGGCCGCGGAAAGCTGCTCCGTTTTTACAAACATAGGTGCAACATGTCAACCGTTCTCACTGTTACCGGGGTGAAGCCTCGGCAACCCCTGTCATACGCCGGTACTTTAGTGGTTTTGGGGAGTCTGTGGGCGAGCGGTTTCTACCGGGTCACTTACAAATGTTGCTCCGGGGTTAGGAAGGAACGGTCGATCGAGTGGGTTGTTTTATTTTGTTTTATTTTGATGTTAATGTTGCTGGTGCTGTTGCCGCTTCACTTTGCTGGCGATTGCTAAAAATGTGGTTGCACTGACGGTGTCATGACTGCTTCTTTTTGCCTCTACCCCGCCCCAGATCAAAGGCGCCAGAAATTAGAAGAGTATCTGCAGAGAAAGAAGTCTGCTAACAACGTGGCGATCCGAGCTAGGAGCCGTTTGGAAAACAGGTGACAAATGATCTCTGTGTGTATATTAAATCGAGCTGTCAGTGAGATTACACTCACCTCCTGCCCGCACCTTGACACTTCTAAATCCTGCTTTCAGAGGTTTCCCAGTTTGAGCTACACTACAATATCTAATTCTGTGCATCGAGAGGCATTCCCCAACCTTCTGTGTCAATGCCTCTACGTGTTTTTAAATTTTGGCAATAACTGCTGGGGTATGGGAGATTTTGAAGCCATCACTTTTTGCGTTTGCAAGCGCAATAAATATTCAAATGCAAAAAGGCTTATTAACTATGTTCATTGACAGTTTAAATCTTGTATTGTTTCCCCGCCTTGGGTGCTACGTGCCAGTTTTCAATTTTATTTGAGCCGTCATAGTGTGCCCTTTATCTTTGCAGATTCTTTATTTCCAGCAGAGTTATACCCTAAGTCGAGGCTGGGTTATTAAGTCGATATAAGGCTCAAAGATTTCTAATCAGTAAGGGAATCAAGGGTTAAGGGGAAAAGACAGGAAAGAAGAGTTGAGATAACAAAGTGTAGAGCTGGATGAACACAGCAGGCCAAGCAGTATCAGATTCTGGAAGCAGGAAAGCTGACGTTTCGGGCCTAGACCCTTCTTCAGAAATGAGTTGAAGAGTTGAGGTTTATTAGATCAAGTCATGATCTCATTGAATGTTGAAACAGACTTGATGATCTACTTCTGTGTCTCATGATCACTGCTGTTGGTCGTTCAATAAGTTGTGTCTCTGGCTTTCTGCAGTGCAACCTCGTGAGACACGCTCCTTTGTTTTTTTTTACTGTAGTTCTGTAAATTATTTGTCTTCAAATAATTATCCAATTCTCTTTTGAAAATCATAGTTGATCTGCCTTCACTAGGCACTCTAGATAGTATATTTCCAGATGCTGGAAATATACTATGTGTAAAAACAGTCAAATTTCTCTTCATTTAGTTCTTTTGCCATTTACCCTTTCTAATCTTAATTTAGACCATTTTGCTAAAGGGAACAACTACATTTACTCTGTCCATACCTCTTGTGATTTTAAACACCTAGAAACTCCTAAAACACCTAAAGAGAATGGCCCCAGCTTCTGCAATTTGTCTGTGTAGGCAAAGTCCTTATCCCTCCGCAGCAGCTAAAGCCATCTCCACTTTCCAAATGTACTTTGAATGCATATCTATTCCAATATCCTTGCAATAAAGACCATTTGCCTTCCTAATTGCTTGTTGTACTTGTGCCTTACCTTAGTACTCCTCATACAAGAAATTTATTTACATCCATGCTGGTAGTATCCTATGAGTAACATTTGTTTGTTTTCTGATTTAGTTCTATTCCAGTGACTTTGCATATAACCTGATGAGATTATCTGGTTCACCACGATTTAATGAGCATCAGTTTATAATTTGCAACTTTATAATCATTTCACTCCCCTCATTTGAAATTGTATGATGCTGTCTTGTCATTGTGATGTCATGACAGTGAAAATGTCTTTTTAAAAATGTTTCCCCTTATAGATATTGAACTATTTTTAATGCTAATGGTACAAATATTTGTTTTCTTTAAGTTAGTTGATTTGAAGGAGGCAAGCAATTTCTGACTACAATATTTTCCTGATTTATACTGATCATCATTTTCTTTTGAAGGGTGTATTTGAGAGACAAGACAAACGTTGAGAAACTTCAGGCTTCTACATGGCAGAAAGAGGCAATGGTAGGTACTGGAAGAAAAATATAGATTTCTTCCTTTTTCATGTGTTGAATCTTTGGGTAGAAATTGCTCTGTTGGCTTTACATTTGAAAGCTTTACAGTTGTAGTTTTACAGTACAGTCTGTCCCAGGTTGCAAACAGGTTCCGTAGTTGAGTCCGTTCACAAGTTAATTTGTACGCAAGTTGGAACACAATGCAGAACAGTATAGAAAGTACAGAAAGTATTTATGTGAAATTGAATCAGAGATAGTAGGAACTGCAGATGCTGGAGAATCCGAGACAACAAGGTGCAGGGCTGGATGAACACAGCACGCCAAGCAGCATCATAGGAGCAGAGAGGCTGACGTTTCGGGCCTCGACCCTTCATCAGAAAAGGGGGAGGGGAAGGGGGTTCTGAAATAAATAGGG